AGAGGATTGTCAGGAAAAGGCCATTCAAAAGTGTTGGGGACTTTCACAAGGAGTGGACTGAGGCTGGAGTCAGTGCATCAAGAGCCACCACACACTGACGGATCCTGGACATGGGCTTCAAATGTCGTATTCCTCTTGTCAAGCCACTCCTGAACAACAAACAACGTCAGAAGCGTCTTACCTGGGCTAAAGAAAAATAGACCTGGTCTGTTGGTCAGTGGTCCAAAGTCCTCTTTTGTGATGAGAGCAAATTGTGCATCTCATTTGGAAACCAAGGACCCAGAGTATGGAGGAAGAATGGAGAGGCACACACTGCAAGATGCTTGAAGTCCAGTGTGAAGTTTCCACAGTCTGTGTTGATTTGGGGAGCCATGTCATCTGCTGGTGTTGGTCCACTGTGCTTCATTAAGTCCAGGGTCAACGCAGCCGTCTACCAGGAGATTTTGGAGCACTTCATGCTTCCTTCCGCAGACGAGCTCTATGGGGATGCTGACTTCATTTTCCAGCAGGACTTGGCACCTGCCCACACTGCCAAAAGCACCAAAACCTGGTTCAATGACCGTGGGATTACTGTGCTTGATTGGCCAGCAAACTCGCCTGACCTGAACCCCATAGAGAATCTATGGGGCATTGCCAAGAGAAAGATGAGAGACATGAGACCGAACAATGCAGAAGAGCTGAAGGCCGCTATTGAAGCATCCTGGTCTTCCATAACACCTCAGCAGTGCCACAGGCTGATAGCTTCCATGCCACGCCGCATTGAGGCAGTAATTGCTGCAAAAGGGGCCCAAACCAAGTACTGAGTACATATGCATGCTTATACTTTTCAGAGGTCCGATATTGTTCTATGTACAATCCTTGTTTTATTGATTGCATGTAATATTCTAATTTTCTGAGATTGTGGATTTGGGGTTTTCATGAGCTGTAAGCCATAATCATCACAATTATGACAAATCACGGCTTGAACTATCTTGCTTTGCATGTAATGAGTCTATCTCATATATTAGTTTCACCTTTTAAGTTGCATTAGTGAAATAAACGAACTTTTGCACGATATTCTAATTATTCGAGTTTCACCTGTATATTCAGAGGTGAAAATAAAAATAAATGATCACAGTTTGTAAATTCGGAGGCTAAATGCTGACCCCTCTAACCCTACTGCTCTAGGCCAAGGCCCACAAGTGCATTTAATGGTAAATACAGCATGCCAATGTACTCCTTTCATCAGCCTGAAATGACCGATCAGTATCAAAACTTGATCACCCTCAGTGGCAGTTGCATGGCTGGTAGGTAGTGGTGCTCAGTTGCACTTCTCCTCAAGTGTATGACAGCAATCATAGAAATGCCGGCGCTTAAAGAAACATCCACTTACAGGATCTTTATTCATTACATAACAGGATAAGTGCAGTGGTCACGCATATGCGTTTCAGCCAATCCTGGCTTTAATCCAGGCCAATCTTAAGTCCAGAACTGGATGAAACACGTAAGTGTGATCAATCTTTTTAGCCTGCTATGCAACTAATAAAGTGGATGTTTCATTTAGTGCCAGCATACCTGTGATTGAAATCACCAATTACATACAAAACTGTTGTATTCAACTACACAGGAAATAATAAACATCAGGGTACTAATGTTAAACATACAGTATAGCTGGAAATTCAACATACTTTTCAGTTCTAAGTAACTCTTTAATTTGAAGGGATTGGCACATTCAGTAATGATTGATGATTATCTACAAAGTCCCTGATGAATCTGGAATGTCCATTGCACAGACTAGTGGATGTTCTATATGGGATTGTGGAACATTAGTTTAAGATGCAAAAAATGTGGTTGGGACAAAAAGAAGTCGGTCACCTTAAAAGGTTCCTAAGCCTACATTCACATGGTTGCAGAGGCCCATACAGTGTGAAGAATGTGTGTTTATGCGGATGTTAAGTGCCCAGACACAGGCAGCAGCCTATACAAATGAATGACATGTTGACAGACAGTGCAGCTGTATGCACATCCAAGCATTTACATCCACACATGGATGGATAAGCGGCCCTGGATGCAAACTATCTGTGTCCAGAGCCACTCATCCATCCCTGTATGCATGAAACCACTTGGGTGTAGGAGTAAATACGTACAACTGTGGCGTCTGTCAACCTGTCATTGATTTGTACAGGCTGTTGTCCATAGTTGTACATAAACATCTGTGACTCCCAGGTGCCTAATAGCCACACAGTTATGTGCTGTTTTCTGCACACTATGGGCCTCTGTGATCATGTGAAACCTGACAAAGTTTTCATCCCTTCCCCACTCTAGATTTATCCCTAAATTTAAATCTTAAAGGAGAAAAATATGGGGGCTGCCATTGCTATGCACATTCTAAGCATACTAGTTACCTGCTGTCTTTGGTGTTGGTACTTTTTGAGTCCCTAACTCAATGCAAGCATGTAGATTACACAGAGAGGACGAAGTCAGAACTCCAATCTGCAGACTCATTCCAGGTCAGTGTTTCTGAATAGACTGAAGCCACTGGAGCAGTATGATAGTCAGGCAACCAGCATTTTCAGAAGTATCAATACTCAGCAAATGCAGACTACATATTGTCTCAGTACATGTTTCCTATAACTGCAACTTAACACAAACCTAATCTCCATACCTAACAAAATATCCTAACCCAACCCCTAGACAGAACCGTTAGCCTTAAAAAATTATCTAAACTTAAGTAATGTATTATACCGGTCCTTAGATGGGTGGTTGTTAGAATTACAACAGCATATACTGATGTAATTTGTTTCTTGAGTTGTAGATGGAGCTGTAGTGCAATGTTAGTCTCTATGTGCATGTCTATCTATGATACACAGGATGTTTTTTCTCTCTCTGTTTTCTGCACAATGCTGTATACACACGTGTAATGTTCTTCTAAACAAGTCAAACTTAAAGTGACATTAAACCCTCAGATTTTTTAACATAAAACAATAGTGTAATGTATGCCTTACTGTAATCCATGGTTGTTTCCCTTCTATTTGCTGCTCTTCCTTTTAAATCTGTATCTGTTCTCATGCTGGGCAGAACTTCTGTTTTGCAGCAGACTGCCTGGTCTCTGGAATGGATACATGGTGTCTGTGTGTAGGTTTGCAACCTGAGCCAGCACTAGAGGAAGAGGCACTCAGCTGCAAAGGGAAGTTCTCCCCAAGCATGAGAAGACATGAGGATTTAAAAGGAAGAGCAGCAAAGAGAAGGGAAACTACCATGGATTACAGTAAGGCACACATTACAGTATTGGTTTATGTTAAAAAATCTGAGGGTTTAATGTCACTTTAATTCAGCATTCCTCAAGATCTCAGTGCTCCATCTAAACACATAACCAACAGTGGCTGCATTTGTTTTCTTTTTGTTGCTTTATTTGCACCTGGTGATTCAGCTAGTAACTCCTGGCCTAAGATAACAACACTCACTCATAGATCTATGGAGAAGCAAGGTTGTAATGCTAGAACAGGAATCATGTTAGGGTTACAGAACACATTCCATACCCTTCATCTCTAAAACATAGGGAGGAAGTGTTCTGTAGTCCATGGGAAGAGCTGGGTACAATTCTAACTGATAACAGGCAGCAGAGGCAGAGCAAACACTAAGGAGGTTATTCACTGGGCTGCTGAAGACAGTCCAGTGAATAACCGAGCCGAAGTGAAGTGAGCCGAACGCCGTTCAGCTATTCACTTCAGCCCTGTCCGGCTGATTTGGCTCCCTTCGGGTCAACCGAACATGTTTGGCTGAACCGAACACGTTCGTCTCAGCCGATCCAACATTTGGACCGGCCGAGCCAAACCTCCGGCAGTTCACTTGCTGCCATTCGCCTCTATTCTCATAGGGGCTGAACGGCAGTGAGTGAATAGCTGAATGTCAGGGTCCGGTATGAATTTGGTTTACATTAGCGGGGAGAATGGTCTGCTTTGGCATACGCGTTCGGCTCCACTGAGCTGTTCGGCTGCCTTCAGCTGCTGTACCGGCTATTGTGAATAGCCCATACAGCAGCCCTTCGGTTCGGCTGAACCGAAGAGCTCCAGCAGCCGAAGTGAACCGAAGGATTAGCCGTAGCTACGGCTATATCTTTCGGCTCTTTAGTGAATAACCCTGTCATTTATCAGCTCACAAGATTTTTGGAAGGATCAACAGGTGGCACTTTTTGGCACTTGTCAAACAGCTTGTTATTATATCATTATTAATTATTATTATTATGATTATCATTATTATTATAGATGATTTATATAGTGCCAACAGTTTGCACAGCTCTTTACAATATAAGGAACACATTACAGTTATGATAACATTCAAAACAAGATGGTTAGGAAAGGTCTGCTACAACAATACACTTTCAATGGTATGCTAAACAGACCAAAAGGAAGCAAATAAGAGAAGTTCATTGTTACAGTATACGTATACTTTAACCCTGAATTTAATCGTAACTAACTCCAAAATGTAAACTTTAAAATAAACCTAACCCAAAACAGTGATATTATCAAGACAACAATACAATTATTACAACAAACAAAACACTATCACAACACTTAAAGAACTGATGTGACATCAAAGTTCTCTATTGTAGAAAAATGAAAAAAATTGTGTTTTGTGTGTAAAATGAATGAGTACGCTAGTGTTGGCGCGACACACAAACACAAAAAAATGTTCTATGAGTGGGGAATGCAAAAGTGTCAAGCTATGCATAACAAGGCATAACATTATTTGGTGTGTTTGAAGCAAAGGAATACCCCTCTCAGTAACTCCAGCATTCGCAAAGAGTTGGCAGCCAATCAAGACAGCATTAACTATTCAAAAATATTTAATCCAACGTTGGGCCATTCAGACCTGAAGCTTGTGCAAGTGAAACAGGAAATGTAAACTTATTACAGCACATACAGTGTTGATCACAATTGTCTGTGTATATATTAATCATATCACAGACGCTTTGAATTGTATTTTTGTCACTACGCAGTAATAATTAACTTCTGTCTTACCTTGTACATGATTTTTCCCGTGCAGAAAGAATGCTAGGAGACAAATCAGTTCAATCCCCATTCGTTTCTACTTCTGGCTGGATGGACAAAAAAATGAGAAAGGAAATATGTTAAATAATTGTCCGGCCTGTAGAGATAAGGTAGGATCGATCGTGTGAGCAGGTGATATTATCTAAAATTCCTTTCAGAAGAAGGAATAGAATGGAATGTACAACAATCCACACTAGACCAGCTTGAATGAGCTGAGAAAGGACTTGTAAGGAATGAAACAGTCAAGCAGGTAGAGACACCTATCAGCATAACCCTGCCCACTTCCTTGTTATTGCAGGTATCCTTACCTTAGAAAGTGGAGACGAGGGGAAGGCCCCATGTCACAGCTCTGCACAGTGTACATATCCACCTGGCTGCTGGCATTCTTATTATACAGCTCAAGTTTCCAATCTGAACATCGCATTGTTTCATGGTTACAAATCCCTATAGGAATGTCATCTTCCTTTTATTTTTTTTTACCTTGCTTCCTAGCCATCCTTTTTATTTTAATCATGCTAGGAGACAGACATGATCAGATCTTTGGTTTAGCTGAAGTGACTATATGATCCCTTCAGAGGGACTGCATATACTTTTTAATGCTCTTTGAATAGTGAATATGGAGGCTGATCAGGACAGCAAGACACAGAGTTATAAAACTTAAAAGATATACTTCCTCTTCCCATATTTAATTAATAAATATGTTTTTTTCTGCTGTCACTTTCTGTCCTTGTTACATTGTGTCTCTGAGGCTGTAATTAAGGGTAAAGTTATTATTAAAGGTAAAAGTCCCTGCAATAGAAGATATTTTATTCTCACCTCTCCGGTAGCATGTGTCTCCAGTGATTCCTTTATTACAGCACTGCAGCCTCTGTATGCCTCCAGAAGGGTCCCTCATGGTACCCCATGGTCTCATCCTCTGACCCCTAAGTCACTATAGGTATCAACAGTGATGTAGGAGTCAGGGAATGGAGCCACACCATGCACTACCAGAAATATGGAATGCCTAAGAAGCTGTAGCTTTGGAACAGAAGGAGGCTATGTTAGGTGAGTATAAAAGCTCTTCTTTTGCAGGGATCCTTGTTCTTTTTTTTTAAACTTCCCCAAAGGGGAGACAGTAATAAAAACCTGACAGATGTGATAACCTTAACCCCTTCTGTACAAAACTATGAAAAACATTTGACTTCAGTTGGCCTTGGGTTCTGGGTGTTAGTTACAAGATGGAGATGTAGAGATATGCAATCTGAATCTATCAGAGACACCTGGCTGGGATCCAGGTTGGAGAACAATAATGGCACCAAACCTGACACATGGGGTGGACATGGATCCACACATGTAGACTGTTACTGAGAGAGCACCAAACCCAACAAATAGGGGCAGATGTGGAACTGCACATGTAGTCTGTTACTGATGGAGCACCAAACCAGACAAATGGGTTGGATGTGAAACTGCACATGCAGATTGCAACCAAGGGAGCACCAAACCTAGTGGATGGTTTACGGGTAAGCGCCTTTTTCGGAAAATGTGTCAGAGTGACGAGTCAGGTGGGGCTAAGTGTGGACCATCCAACTGAATAAAACAAATCTGAAGCTGAACCTGGTGTTTGATGTTTGCTGCATATCATATGGTGGATTGTGTGCTGAATCAAGCTCAGGAGCCATGCCTGCGTCCAAGGTGGGAAGCAGACATTTAAGCATTGGCTTTGGAGAGGTATCATGCTATTGGATGTTGTTAAATGGTGTGGATGCAGAATTGCACATGTAGTCTGTTACCAAGGGAGGACCAAACCTGACTTGGTAGTGGATGTGGAATTGCACATTTAGACTCTAACCGAGGGAGCACCAAACCTGACAAATTGGGGTGGATGTGGAACTGCAGAGGCAGAATCTAACTGAGGGGGCACCAAACTTGACAAACTGGGGTGGATGTGGACCTGCGCATGCAGAATCTAACTGAGGAAGCACCAAAAGTAACAAATGGTGGTGGATCTGGAACGGCACGTATAGACGGCAACTATAGGAGCACCAAACCTAACAAATAGAGGTGGATGTTGAACTGCACACATACACTGATACCAAGGGAGCACCAAATCCAACAAATGGGGTTGAATGTAAAACTGTACATGTAGACTGTTACCAACGTAGTAGGGAACTTGAAAAGTAACTTTAGAATGATGTCTACAAGAGAGGGAAAGCACCATGAGCAAAGGACATGAGGGTCTGAGGATTTAAGGGAAACTTTCCTTTTTGACAGCCTGTTTAATGTTACAGAATCTAACTGAGGAAGCACCAAAAGTGACAAATGGTGGTGGATCTGAAACATCACGTATAGATGGCAACTATAGGAGCACCAAACCTAATAAATAGAGGTGGATGTTGAACTGCACACATACAATGATACCAAGGGAGCACCAAATCCAACAAATGGGGTTGAATGTAAAACTGTACATGTAGACTGTTACCAACGTAGTAGGGAACTTGAAAAGTAACCTTAGAATGATGTCTACAAGAGAGGGAAAGCACCATAAGCAAAGGGACATGAGGGTCTGATGATTTAACGGAAACTTTCCTTTTTGACAGCCTGTTTAATGTTACAGCTCTTGTAAGTCTACAGAGAGAATAAAAATGCTTAAATATTTCTCCAGAGACGTTCAGATTAATATCAGCAGTAACTCCTAGCAGTAAGACTCTCTGGGGAGAGAAGCAAGCCATAACCTTCATCTAGAAGTATTTTAGGGATTACAGGATTCTGAAATCACTATTGTGTTTAAGTTGTAAGATTTGTGACAAGCCTTGTTCTCATCTTACTTTTCCTAGAAATATTCTCTTGACTGCTAATGTTATTGTTATTGTACTTTTACCACCCCCTTGTATAATGCAAAGCAGTGAAATATAAAGAGAAGAAAAAATGCTATGTGCATGGTTCTGGTGTAAGTGAACCTGCTATCAACCATTAGGATGTTATAATCAATGTGTATGAGTATTAATTTTTTCCTAGTATGGTCTGTTTTTAGGGTATATAGCCTTAAAGTCATCCATGCCACTCATTTTGTTATCCCGTCAAAAGAAGCTGGGCATAGATCCTGTTGTAAGCTCTTTCTAGCTCCCTCTCTCATGTCACAGTTTTATAGCACAATCCTTAGATAGAAGCTGTGAAAACTCTGTGCAAAAATCAGCTTTACCTACTTTCATCATGCCTCCTTCTCCTGTTGGCTGGAATAAAAATTTTTTTTATAGCTCAATCAATGGTAGAAAAGAGGGATGATGTCTTTGGGTGTTGACAGACTTTGGCAAAAAAAAAATGACCTTCAAAAGTTAAATTTCCAGTGTTTTCAAAGCTGTATTTCAGACATATGCCACAAGATGGGTAGCAATAAAGGGTTTACTACAGAATCTATCTGGCATATGATATCGCAAAAGAAATGGCATCCTGTCTTGAATTGTATTGTAATTGTAATGTCTTCCTTATATTGTAAAGCGCTGCGCAAACTGTTGGCGCTATATAAATCCTGTATAATAATAATCATAATAAAGAGAAATTCGATTGCTTTTTAGGTAAAATTTATTTTAAAACATTTTTGAAAGTTTGTAAATTTATAAATTGATATTATTTCTATAAAATTGTTTACTTTAATATAAAGCTTTAGCACAGAGAGCATCCATAAGGCTGGGTTCACACCTAGGCGTATTGAATATGCGCGTTTGTCGCGCGGTTTGCGTCGCGCGTTTTCACCGCGATTCGTGGGCTACTTGGCTGTATCCCATTGGAAACGCGAGACCAAAACGCCCCAAAGAAGTACATGTACTTCTTTGGGCGTAGGCCGTTTTGTATCGCGTTCGGACGGGCGGAAATACGGCAAGGTGTGAACCATACCCATTGAATACAATGGGATTTAGATGTTTGAGCGTTTTGTAGAGCATTCGTCGAGCGTTGAACGCGCTACAAAACGTTCAGGTGTGAACCAGGCACCAAGCTTTCTGGGCTTTTTAATAATAAAATGAGTACTGATGCATGTCTTCTGGCAAGTTATTAAATTTTATGTTAAAAAATCTGAGGGTTTAATGTCACTTTAATTCAGCATTCCTCAAGATCTCAGTGCTCCATCTAAACACATAACCAACAGTGGCTGCATTTGTTTTCTTTTTGTTGCTTTATTTGCACCTGGTGATTCAGCTAGTAACTCCTGGCCTAAGATAACAACACTCACTCATAGATCTATGGAGAAGCAAGGTTGTAATGCTAGAACAGGAATCATGTTAGGGTTACAGAACACATTCCATACCCTTCATCTCTAAAACATAGGGAGGAAGTGTTCTGTAGTCCATGGGAAGAGCTGGGTACAATTCTAACTGATAACAGGCAGCAGAGGCAGAGCAAACACTAAGGAGGTTATTCACTGGGCTGCTGAAGACAGTCCAGTGAATAACCGAGCCGAAGTGAAGTGAGCCGAACGCCGTTCAGCTATTCACTTCAGCCCTGTCCGGCTGATTTGGCTCCCTTCGGGTCAACCGAACATGTTTGGCTGAACCGAACACGTTCGTCTCAGCCGATCCAACATTTGGACCGGCCGAGCCAAACCTCCGGCAGTTCACTTGCTGCCATTCGCCTCTATTCTCATAGGGGCTGAACGGCAGTGAGTGAATAGCTGAATGTCAGGGTCCGGTATGAATTTGGTTTACATTAGCGGGGAGAATGGTCTGCTTTGGCATACGCGTTCGGCTCCACTGAGCTGTTCGGCTGCCTTCAGCTGCTGTACCGGCTATTGTGAATAGCCCATACAGCAGCCCTTCGGTTCGGCTGAACCGAAGAGCTCCAGCAGCCGAAGTGAACCGAAGGATTAGCCGTAGCTACGGCTATATCTTTCGGCTCTTTAGTGAATAACCCTGTCATTTATCAGCTCACAAGATTTTTGGAAGGATCAACAGGTGGCACTTTTTGGCACTTGTCAAACAGCTTGTTATTATATCATTATTAATTATTATTATTATGATTATCATTATTATTATAGATGATTTATATAGTGCCAACAGTTTGCACAGCTCTTTACAATATAAGGAACACATTACAGTTATGATAACATTCAAAACA